AAAATGTTGTATAATTTTTTTCAATAAACAACTTTTGTCACTTTTGCTTAAACTATGAAATCTTGAGTATTTTACAACTTTTATGACTTACCATTCATTTGATGTGTTTTAGCAGAACTGTGATGTAAATCAATGTTTAATAAAAAAGTAACTTTTCCCACCAGAAATTGTTACTTGATTAAATTTGTAAATTATTATTTGATGATAATAGAGAAAATCGATAACATATACTTGTAAATGTAGTCAATATTCAATAGCGTAGTATAATATTAAACAAAAGTGCTTTAAAAATAAATAATTATATTTTAAGAAGCGATTAAAACGACAAAAACAGTTAATTTTTATTCAGATATAGTGTGCGAACCGAAACACCAAAAATCAATACGACATTTGCCATTAGATTTGTGTATCGATTAGTGAATCAAAAAATTAATTAACAGATTATTTGTTTCCTTAGCTCTCATTCAGTGAACAAAAGCACAACTTTTTAGGAGACGTTTTTCGGTCGAGATTTTTCGTCTGCAATGATAGAGAAGTCGCGGATAACATGTGAAACACGGATAGCAATAGCGATGTCTATATGTGTTGTGGACTCACTTCACAACATCTGAGAGAGCATTGAGAGAGACTTACGGAGAGATAGAGTGGGATGAGAGCCGCAACTCTTTGCCATCACTTCTCTCTCATAGTGTTTATTGATTTCCCAAAAACTCTTATACAGTATATGTTATACCGATTGCCAGTGTTTAGTGTATGACATCTGCTTGTATTGGTTCGAGTTATTCATACAATTCTTTACAGAATATTCTTTAATACAAATATTTCATATAAACATGAATGAATGACACATATAATGTTATGTCATAATTATATTATCGCTCATTTAATGAGTACACAACATATTGCTTAACTAAGGGAAAGGTAGCATTTGCTGGCATACCTGGCATTTAATAATTTAATTATTTAATCAAGTTTTTAATTAGTATTAATTTTCAAAAAACTTTTCTAAATGCTTGACCAGTTTGTCGGCCTTTTCCGGTTTAATGCCTAACTTTTCTGCCAACTCGTGAGCAGTGGGCGCCCCGTCCGGTGCCGTACGATACGGGGTCTTATTAGTGCCCAACAGAAAGTCAGGTAACTGATCCTGGTCCACGTACTCTGTGATGGTCTTTTTACCAGTTAAATACACGTATTTATTCTGTTCCTCATTGAGCCAAGACTTACACATTTTATACACCGCCTCCAACACTGTTTGCATTTTGAATATTATAGAGGAGTTCACTAGACCAGGGTAATATTCATTGAATAGGGTGTATAGAAATTTCAACGTATCCATGTCAGCGTTTTTAATACCAGTGTCCCGACAGTCTAATAGCAATGTTAAACCTATGGCAAGTTTTTAATTGTTTATTAATTAATATTAAAGAATATATTTATTAAATTTGAACAATATTTATTTATAATTATATTTATATACTAAATTATTACGAGTCATCCTAAAATTATTATTAAATCAAAAATCTGATAATATTTGTATATGTTAATAAATACATAGCAAATTATCATTAAAGTAATATAATATTACTAATATTAGTGTCAAGCAACAAATCTATTTAATCACTTAGATACTTAATTAGTTTACACCTATATTTCTAAAAGTAAGATCAATTTCACTGTAATTTAATATTAATTATTTTATTTTTGTCTTAATGTACACCACTATAAACTACAGGTATAAAAATCTATAACATTATAAGTACATACCTTTCCCTTCATTACTGTTGTCGACCTTTTCAACCAAATACACCAAAAACTGATGAGCCAGTTTCATCCAAGACTTTATTTTTTTCGACACCTTTCCCCTCATAATCATAATGGGAGTGCCATTGTGATCGACCCCATAGATAATAGCGCCGACACTGGTATAGCCCTCGCGAGCGAAATCCGTATCTTTGAGTTCGCGTACTCCGTATGCCTTCCGCCACTTGAGGGCCTTGTCTAAGGCCTCCAACCCTTTCTGGACATCGGGTTTGGATTTGTGTTGATGAAGATACCGGCGCACAGACCAGTCGTCCCGTTTCAGTCGCTCCACATCTTCACTATAGTATAAATCGGGACTTTTCTCACACCTCTCCACCGCTTTTTGGCGCAACTCAGCCACCAGTTCCTTAGGCA